AGGTAGGTAAATTGAATGCTTTAGATTCTGCTATAAATGTACTTTCATTTTACAAAAGGAATTATTGATGTATATCGCTTAGTTGCTGAGAAAATAAATACTTTCGGTGGTCTAGTCGCGCGCGCGAAAATGAGTAAATTTCAACTTTAGCGGCCTATAACTTTTGTCAGGACCACGGGAAAATGTCGTAAAGCGAGATTCTGAAGGTTCAAACATTTCTGAACAAAATGGTGTGGGTCCCAATTCTTTCTACTCCGAAAAAAAAAACTACCTCAAATAAGCGAGTTAGCGCCGGCTCTCCGCTGCACTATAAGCATTACATTAAAGATATTATATGAAACACTACTACTAGAAAGGAAGTTCAAACAAATAATAAAACCCAATAATAAATATAATATAAAATAATAAAGCCCAAAGTGGATTCCGGAAGGGTAGGAGTATGCAAGATCACTTGTTCACGATAAAACAGCTTACTGAAAAAACGCATAAATATACTTTAGCATTTTTAGATTTAGAGAAGGCCCTGGATCGCGTAACGCAAGAAACTAGGTATATGAAATAGGGATTAGGGGGAAGCTGATCCGACGAATCAAAAGTGTGTATACAGACAATGAAGGCTATGTATGGGAAGATAATGCACAGTCGGAAAAATTTAAAGTTTACATCATTTATGAATTACTTAAATACGCAGTCACATTATTGTATGTGGCCGAGATACGTTATGCAAAACATAAATATGGTATTGTAATAAATTAGAGAGTTAGCGTTACAGTTATTTTGAATACGGTAAGTTTCGAGCTAATTCTAAAATTGCCCGTCTGTACTCCTTAATCCGTCTATTAGAAATAATCCCCAATTAAACGATTTTTGGGGCAACAGCCCTTCAATTTGTGGGGGGTTAACTTTAAATCTTTGCGTTCCTCAAGGGATCAGTACACAAAAATACGCAACTAATCAAACTTTCACATTAAAATGTCGTTATCCCGGTACGTGCTATAATTCTTGAAAAGGGGTTTCTGTCTGAATGGCGTCGCTATAACTTTTTAAGCTTTTAGATACGACTAAATAAAGGTGTTATGTAACATTTTACGTTAAGTCGTATTCTTGAGAATAGTCAACGAGAGCGCTTAAAATATACCTAATTAATAAGTTTTTTGTAAATTAAACTTCGGGTTATGCCAAATTTTCGACGCGAACTTTTAACCTGCTGGGCTGGGAAGAAGCGAGTACAACTTATTCCAATTCAAATCCAAAAGAAGATATAATAAAATAATTTATTATTTAAGCTATTGCATGAGCTATTACCTTCGCTCAACCCGGCTGGCCAGAGGTCAAAAGATGTCATAGTTTTAAATATTTTAATCATTTATGTTGCAGTTGTCAAATCATGTTGTGCTGGAAAATAAAATAAACCATCTACGTTCCCAATAAGGCCGGCCAGGACCAACTCGGTAAATACCCTTAAAAGGATTCTTCCGACCAATTCAAACGACCCAGTATTAAGGGGCCAGTTGAATCACTCGGCAACCACGGAGGACAATGGCAATCGCGTTTGCGTCAGGTCGACTGACCTAAGCACAAACCCAAGAATCAATACAGCACTATTTAACGTGAAGTCCGGAGGTTTATTTAATCTACCAGAACTGAGGTTACGGATAGTGCAGGTGAGTATGATGGGCAATGAAATGAAAGTAAATAAATAATTAAGATCTTGTGAAAATAATAAATTCTGATCTCGGGTCTGGAATATACAGATGCAAGTTTCTGGTGTAGAATAATCTCGGAAAAATGGGCTTCTGGTCTGGAAAATCTCGGGAAACGATTATCTATACAAGGATCTCGCCTGGCGCACACTCGGGAGTATCCTATGGTCTGGACTACTACAGGATGACACACAGGGATCGGGAAATTAGATGAAAATCAAATTCAATGAGGCCGAAGAGAAGCTCAAACAACTGGGGATATAAGAAGGGATTTGAAGTTCAATGGATGGCGATTCAGATTGGAAGGCAGTAGGCAACATCTAACGTAGGAATTTTACAGCGCCCCTGACACATATATTAGAGGGGTTTACCAATAAAATGACCATATTCGCCCGAATGCGAAAAAGTTATGGCCGCATCGTTAACACAAATAGTTAGGAGGCCACTATTCTGGCTGTAAGGACAATGAGAAGCATAGACCAAAAGTGGTTGGTCTATAAGTGGAGAGGTCTGGTCAGAGAGCTGGAGGTGGGATGATCTGTTTTCTAAGTAATACACGAGCGCGCGGCGTAGATTCCACGACACATTTTATCCCAATTGGAGTACTCGGAGATGTACAAGAGCTCAGCGCCGGCTCTGGGCGAGAGCCCCCAGGTCAGTTACCTATTAATTAATTTGCGATGATCGCAGAAAAGCAGTTTCGATGTTTGTTCGAACGCCAAAAGGGACCAGTCCATTTGCATCTTATGGCCAGACACATAAATTGCAGGGTGACGTTTTTAATGAAGCCCCATTTAATTAGTCAGTTCCACCAACTCAATGTATGCTTTATTAGGCATAATATCATTAAAATGTGCCATCGTTTTGAATAACCCTGTATAATAATAACAGCGTATTCCGAAATCGAAGTTAATGATGTCATTGACATTCTTAGACACAAAATAGGTTGAAAGTCATGTCTATGAAAGTTCGCTATTGACATCGTGTAATAAACTTCCGTACTACGAATAACTCAATGAGATTTATTTAGAGCACGCACAATCTCTTAATACGTAGTTGAAGATGTGCGTAATAAAATGGAAACGTTTGTTCATTTGATCAGACTGGAACATGCGCTGAATATGATGCAAGGATATCCAAACAACCCTTCATAAAATTGTGTTTGCTCAAATCCGTTCTAGTCTGTTTTCTACATCCTGTTAGTGTACATGCTATACTTCCAGTTAAAGGTCGTCGCCGGAGTAACTTGACGTTAATCTCTTACCTATACCTTGAAGGTGTGCCAGACGGCCTTCAAATGTTGTTCTCTTAAGGGGGGGGGGGGCACCTCCATTAATTATTTCCCGGAAATGTGTTTCTGAAAGTGAAACGCGCATAACTTTTATATGCGACAAATTGGTCGCCGATTTTGCATACGCATGCCTCTAGGGGTGCCATATAACACTTTTAAAAATGGAGGGGGGGGGGAGTTAACATAGTTGTAGGTTTCAATTCTAATGAAAGATCTCATCGAAAGGAATTGGTTTCTACAAACTAAAACTGTCTTCCGCAATTCCTTTTCGTGATCGATGGGGGGGGGGGGGGGCAGAAATTGGTGTTATCTTTCACAGTAGTCTAATTAAAGGTCTCAATAAAAGGAACTGTTTTCTACTATCCACCGCATTTGTCTCTTACCCCTTATCAAAATTGAGGGGAAGGGGGAGACACTGGCTTTATTCTTCATGGTCAAAGTATATCTATTGGTGCAATCAAAAGGAATATCTCTTGAACGGAGTGTAGAAGGGGTACTCACAAAGATAAACTGGAACGTCTGGACAAAATATATCAAATGGTAGAGTTAAAACTTTAAGTGGAAAAATGTTGGGAACGGAGTGTTTGAAGAGGTTACTCACAAAGAGTGATTGGATCATAATCATTATTGGTTTCCAAAGTAACTGAAGTGCGAAAAGAGTCTCCGAATAACATAAAGGACGATTGGAACGTGTCGACAAGAAATATGTGTCGGTGATATCAAAACGAATATCTCAAGAAGCGAGTAGAGGAGGGTACTCGCAAAGGAAAACTGGTACAGAGATATAATTTCGCAAAGTGGCGACACTATTTGCTGTCGAGTGAGATTTGCAACACATTGGCATAGCGCTGTTATTTTTAAATCTTCAAATTACCAGCCAACTACTATCCGAACTTTCTCTTTGCAATTTTGCATTTTTTGCAAAGCTACATTGTTGCATCTTTAGACCTTTCACCGAAGAATCATCTGTAACTACTTTTTTACACTCCCGACAGCAAAAGAAGATCTGTACTCTGTAACGTGACCCCGCTGCCGTATTTTCATATGTAACGCTTCATGCGAAGTCTGATCATGAGTAGGTTTTTATTTATTTATTGTCCTTCTCTTGTTCTGGGCCCTCGACACGCTTGTGCCCAATTACAGAGTGGCCCGCATAATGCTTTTTAAAGATTTAATCACGGCAGCCAGACGGGTTTTGATAACATTGATTAATCACAACAAGTCGCTGCGATAAGGTTCCGTCTTGTATATTCTAGCCTCTATAGTTGCCAGATCCAGAGATAGTAGATTTCGATTGGTTAGAAATCACGAGGGGTCCCGAGTTTGGGCTAATCTTTTGATATCCTTAACTTCAGGAAATCCGGACCCATCTATCGTACAGATTTGGATCTAATTATTCTGAAGAAATAAACATTTGTTAAAACTTCCTGTACAGGAGGAACTCCGTATACCAACCAAGTACAATAAGTACTGTAATTTCTGTTTTTTTTTGTAATTCAGCAACCGTAACATAAATATTTTAGGGGTACCGTATGAATTGTTGGATTTCAATATGTGATTTTATCATATGAAGTAGGTTAAATTTAAAAAGAAGGAACCCGTAAATTATTATGGTAATGTTGTGAATTTCAATTAGAAAATACGTGTGTATTTTAATAGGACCTAACTGAGGGAAGGACGATGACGAGTTGAAATTTGTATCTCATTAAGTTTTCAGTTTTTGAAGCTTCTCCCATTTAGATACAAATTTATGTTAGCGCGTTTAGAAAGTAAGATTTAAAATTTCCAACACGTTTATGCTAAGACCAAATTAACGTTAGCTGTGAAAGTGATCACTAGGGATTTTTAGTCACTTTTCTTTTGGTAGCATATTACCCCAATTTTTAAAAAGGGGTGTGAGTATTTTGGTTTGTTAATTTGCGTTGCCAATGGGATAATTAAACATTAATTACGCGCATGTGTGATGTAACAAAACTACGTTCCTTCCTAAAAAGTACAACAGTTACCTGTGATTTCCTCAGCTCTTGTATTAGAGAACCCTCCAAATTCAACTTGGCGTAGTTTTCTTCGGTAAACATATATCCGCGTTTGACGTCCTCTTTATCAGGAATGCTTAAAACACAAGCAGGCGGGTGGCACAACCTTTCATTTTTACTCCTAAACACATGACCCTCCTCAATTGACAAACCAGACGGAGGATCCGGAGTATCATCCACGTAGAGATGTTTGGGAATAAATCCTTTGTGTACTTTAATCTAAAATGCCCAACTTACTAACGATAAATAAACACGTACTCGTTACCAACCTTAGCTCTCCTCTCCGCTATTAATCTCCTGCAATGCATCTCTATTAATCGCACAGGATGATCGACCATTTCAGGTGGTGCTTCATCCAAAGGTATTCGTCCAATTAATACCAAATTCTTCACTCTCTCCATTTCTTCCGCCTAGAAATTGAATGTACTTTAGATTTAGTATAGTGGGTCACGGTTCTGCGACAACTACAAAACTAGTACAGAGTTCAAGGCTTGAATAGGAGTACAAGTAATTGTATGTAATTCAGCAATAAATTTCAAACGAGACAAATCAATACGGATAGTTTTGATACCCGCCTCTCTTGTGGCAATTCTCTTGTTCATTTCATTCGCATAGTTTTCTAAGATGCGTTCCTGGAGAAGTTGCATGTACTCTCGATCCGTGAGATTGACCACGTTGGATCCCATCAACTTCTCCAACCTCGAGCGTACGTAGGGATGACTAAACCTAAAACAGGGGTTATGATTAGACCTTGTAAATGACGACAACCTCAAAAGAAGCCGATACACCTCATTACGCCAAAGCAGTACAATTTAAACGAAATTAAATTTCGCACTTAATCTCTCTGTTGAAGAAGTTTTATTTCATTAAAGTAATTTTGGGTTTCACGAAAGCGTTTATTCGAAAATCGCGTGAAAACTGCTGTCGGGGTCTCTTTTTATAGCCAACCTTAATTTTAATGGAAAACAACATTTTTAATCTATCAAAAAAGTAAGGTTCGGCAATAAAATAACGAGATTTCCGTTAATACATCGAACGCCTACGGGTTCCATTTCAGAATTCGCCGAATTAGCTTTTATATATTACCTACACAAACGACGATGCCATTATTTCCAATCCGTGTGAACAGCTTCGCGGAATCAGTAACGTCGCGAGAAACGAGAATTTGTCAACCACCACAAAATGCGTTTGTGAGTTACCTACATTGCTGAAATGTGCAGAACATTTTATTCTAAATAGCAGTCGCGATTTCGATATTCCTATTTTCAAAAAAATCGAATATTTCGAATATGCATTTAATGAAAATGACACCCCTCAGTTATTAATAGGGGTATAAGAATATTTGAATGACCTATTCTATCAGAAAAAAAACTAGCCACTGGCGCTTTTAAATAAAATACCAATAAAGGGATGAAAGGAAAGGGTTGTTTGTTTACTGTCTAAAAAGGTAGGCAGTTTTTACCCCAGTTTTTTCTCGCCGAACAAGAGTGCGGATAGTGTCATAAAAAAACGTAGTAGTGTTTCTACACCTTGTTTTAAAATTTAGTTCGTATCGTATCGTATAGGTGGCACTCTCTAGGGACAGACGTTTTCAGGTCGCATCAACAGCAAAAATCTAGTTACTCTGATCTTTTGAAGTCATTTTCAATAATTAAAAATGGGACGACAGTATCATTTATTTTGAACAGTAATTCTGCGAAATTAACCACCTTTTGCAAGGCGCGCATCTTCGAGGGGTAGTCGAATTCGAGCGCCCAAAAGTTTCCTAAAGCTCGAATCGCGGTCTCTCTTTCTGGTGCTATTTAGCGAAATCCACCAAAATGCCAATTGCGGGTGAACGGGATGTCGGGTCTACCATGTGGTAGACCCCGACAATCTCTTACAAATGGTGGAGTCAATACGTAAAACGCGAATTGCGAGTGAAGGGGGACGCATCTAGACATAAGAAAGGCTGGATCCGTATAAATCTAGCAAGGAAAGCTCTTCAATCTGGGCGGACCATTGTCTATTCCTTCATATACCACTAATACGAACATCATCCTAGGGGAATCCGAATACTGAGTCAAGACATTTCTATTATGATACGCAAATAAAGGGTTTCTTTTCAGAAGCTCTCAGCTGCGGTTAGAGTGCTTTCTGAATACCACTTTGTCCCTTTATAATGCTTTCCGTGGAAAGTATCTGCACCTCACTAGAGATAAAAAATTGGAAAACGCTAGAAAAAGCTGAAGGTTTTCTAAGTGAATTCCAGATCGCTTTCTAAAACACTCCAAGGTTCCCCACAGCTCACTAGACCTTTTTCAGGCTGTTAAATTGCCTTCAGAGAGATATCAAGCATATCTTTTGAGAGTCTTGGGCTCTTTTCATACCTATCTACCCTCTTTTCAACGTTTTTAAAGAATTTTAGGTCTCTACTAGACTTTTCGAGACATAGGAAGGTCTTGACAATATCTGCTCTGAAGTCTTCTGTAACGGGCAGAGTTTTCTCGGCATTTTCCAAAGTCCCATGGGCCTCCCTTCTTTTACCCTTAGGGGTTTCCAAAAATTAAAAAAAAAATGCGCTACTATTTTAAAAGTATCACACGCTCGGAAGAGTTGTGTTAATGATATTCTATACGAAAACGCTCAAAGGTAACGGTAAGGTTTTCCGGAGATTCCAGGCATTCTTAGAATTCCTAAATCTCGGAAAGGGTACACATGAAACGGCTGCAACAGATGTTGGGAATCACTAGACATCATAAGCAGAGGAGGACAGTGAGGAACCCGAAGTAACCAAAGGAGCTGCTGGAGAGAGCTGTAAAACGTTTACCTATAAGGGTGTCCGAACTTTTTGCAATTGCGGTCATTTTAGAAAGATTACCCTCTCTTGTACTAGCACCCGATTTATGTGTGAGATTTCATTATTTTAACATGTTCATACACAAAGTGGTCACCAAAACTGGTGAAAACTGGGTGGTTCGTTATGTTACTGGGTGCACCGACTTAATTGAGTATGTGAACAAACTTCGAGATCCCACACCGATTAAGCAACGTTACCGTCCACAAAACCCTCAAATACAAGCTCTCGGCAATGAGGAAGTAGATCGTATGCTGGCCGAAAATATCGTGGAACCGTCTGATAGTCCATAGAGTCATGCTCCGAAAGAAAGATGGCAAAATGACTTTTGGTATTGAATACCGGAAAGTGAACTATTAAAGGTGCTTATCCGTTACGGTTCATAAATGGATTTTGGACCGCCTACGTCGAGCTCGCTACATTTCAAGCATCGCCCTGAAACAAGGGTATTGGCAGATACCGCTGATCAAAACTAGTCGACCCATCACCGCTTTCAGTAGAACCGGCCGAGGACTTTTCTAAGTTAAGTTCATGCCTTTTGGCTTACATTCCGCCAACGACGTTCCACCGTCTTTTGGACCAAGCTGTTGGGCCAGAAATGGATATCCGAGCGTTTGTCTACCTAGATGACAGCATATATCGTGTTGGAGAGAACGTTCACCGAGCACTTACAAAACTTGAGAGACGTTTTCCGCTGTCTCCGATGGACTAGTCTGAAAATCAACCGATTTTTCCGTCCGTCTCTGAATTAGTTGAGCCACCTGAGCGATGAAGGTCTCCAAACCGATCCAGATAAAGTAGGCGCCATAGAACAATTAACCCCGATTTTCATTATCGGTCACGTCACGGTCAGATCACGATCTGGTCACGGTTTTCAAATATTGTAGCGTTTATTCCTTAAACCCGATGCACAATATCGGTCATGTACGGTCAGGTCACGGTCCGGTCACGGTGCGGTCAATTATTGCAGCGTGTATTTCTTAAGGCCCATTCACATTATCGGTCAGGTTACGGTTACATGTTCAAAAAGAATACACGCTGCAATAATTTACCGCACCGTGACCCGACGACGATGATGATGATGATTCCTCCGCCCAAGAATCTACCGGATTTTCTCCTACCTTCTTTAATTTTAGCCGTGAACTTGTCCTTCCAAATACCTTTCACAGTCAGCAAGCCTAATCCCGATATTCCTACCGATGTGTCCGTCGAAATTTCAAAACACCGTAACCGTTTAAACAATCTCTAGGATGTGTTTCAGTTAGTTGCTAGGAAAATAGCCCGAGCATGTTACATTACGACTTCTGACACCGGGAATGTAAACCGCATGTGGGTGATTTAGTCCTCCGAAAAGACCATCCCTTGTCCAAAGCGGCCATGGGATATGCCGCCAAATTAGTTCCTAATATTTCGGCCCATACACGGTGTACAAAGTCAAATCACCGGTAGCGTTTACCCTAAAGCATCTGCCCGAATGTATACTTCCGCGCTGTTTTACCCGTCCGTGAGTTTTTTTTGTTTTAGGATAGCGTGCTGAGAAGAGCTGCACTTAACAGATGCAAATCCAATACCATTTGTCGCAATACTAGGTATATTGGGAACTCCCCTAAACGCTAATGAGAAATCTTTTTTCTGAATCCACTATATACCTGTAGGTATGCCACCGGTGGCAATATACAGGTATCACGAAACCATGTTAAAAAGCAACTACAATAATAAAAGTTAAATATTTCATTGCGCACTGTAAAACGATAAACCCTCCGCAAATATCCCACCTAAATTTTTTTATGAATTTACTACGTCGTAATAGAGAAAAATTTCCCTAAAACGCCTAAAGTTTATGTCGAAAAAGATTTACACCTGCAGTGGCACCGCACCACTATTATTATTCATCCCACTAACTCCTACTTATAAGCAAAGGAAAAGGTTGATCCTACTATTTAATGCATGATTGTCATTGTGCTTTTGAAAAGGGTAAATGTCGTTCTCAGAAATGCAATGTAAATCAAGATCAAATTTACAAACCCACATTAAACTATGGCAATAATTCTCGTGACATCATTCACTTGCTCGCTTTATTCATGAACTTCATTATTATGAATTGTATGACGTTATGTTGTTCATTAGGGAGCTTTCCATAGTTCCAAAGGAACTCTTTAAATACACACTTGATTTATGATCTAGTCGTTAGAATTAATTTATTACTATTTTCAGTAATCGCACACTTTAAATCGTTACGGTGGGAGTTTCACAAGTCGCGTGGGTTTAAGACATATTTTGTAAAAATATAATTAGAAAGGAGATGCTCTTATTGTTGCCAGCTGCCTACGGGGAATGTTGTGTTTTAAATGGCGGGATTAAGAGCCTTTCGCAACGAAAGCTGTCCCTCCCGTAAGGAGAAGAGTTGCAAACCTCGTCACTTTTAACATTGAACTTTTATTTATTTTATTTATTTATTTATTGTCCCTCTTGTTCTATATTGTGTCATAGTTAGAATCCACAGTTTATGTAAACACACTGTAGAGTAGAATATGTAATTGGGTTGTAGATATTGCATTAATTACCTATCATTGCTGAAATTGTCACTATCAACCTACTTATGTACATGACTTGGAATGTAATGACGAAAAGAGATGACTACTAACCTTCAAGCTAGAGACACGTCTACTTAAATAAATATAAGAAGACATGGCTTTTATTTAAAGAAATAATAACCTAAAGGCACAATAACCCTTCCGAACATAACAGTTTTAGGTCCTCAACAACGTACAATTACAGAGTGACCCGCATAATGCTTTATAGAGGTGCCCCTGCAGAAGGTCTTAAGTTGTTTTATACTACTCCGGTATTTCCCTTACGAATTTGGAAACCTCTAGAAAACCTAATTCGG